TAAAAAATCGGACCTTGCTCACAAGAAGCGCACAGCGGCGCACAGACACTGCTGACGAAAAGAGCCGGGCAAGGAGAGCGGTGGGGAGGGAGTGGGGGAATCTCGACCCCTTGCTCCTCGCGGGCCCCTTCCTCGCTGCAAACGTTTAACGAGACCGCCGCGCCTGCTTTGCGTGCGGGGAATGAGTCGATGAGTCCCCAGGCTGCCCAGCTGCATGGCCAAACGACGCTAATCGTTAAGAGAGGGCGCGGTGGGGCGGGGCGGGGCGGGGCGCGGCGGGGCGGGGCGGGGCGCACCAGAGGCATGCTCATTGACAAACTGGGAGCATTAGGCCGGGCCCGCAGCGGAGCAGCGAGGCAGCGACAGGCCCTCGGGGACCTCCAATGTGCAGTGTCTGGAGCAGGGAGGCGATAGCGGGACCGTCGTTTTCGTCGCTCTGTCTCTCTCGCACTCATGGGTCGTCTCTTATCGGTGCGAGAGAGAGAGCGACGAAAACGACTCTCGGAATCAGTCTGCAGTTTCTCCAACTGCGTGCCGCGGCCGCGGAGCGCCGTCTTGGCGTCCCTATGCCGGCCCTGGCGGCGCTGGCGGCGCTGGCGCGGCGGTCCGTGCACAAGGGCGGATCCAGGAGCGGCCTGGAGGGGGGCAAAGGAAGGCTGCGGCCAGCTAGGTGCGGCGGCGTGAGGTAATGGGCCGAATGCCGAGACGAGTCCCAGGTCATCAGAAATCGGGCGGCCGATGTCGCGGCGATAGTAGCGATGGTCGCGATAGCGGAGTCAGCGGGCCGCGGCGACATCGGCCGCCCGAGCCTGGCGTCCCTGTCTGTGGCGCTCTGTGCGCGCGTGCAGCCCGAGAGTGCGAGAGAGAAGGCACGGCGGTCCGTGGCGGTCCGCTCCCGGAACCTGCTAACCCTTCCCTTTCCGGCGTCACGGCGCGTCCCTCGGGGACGGCGTCGATGGCGCCGATGGCGGACGCGGCGCAGGCCGGCCGGGCCGGGCCGGGCCGAGTCTGGCCACGCGTGGTCGGCATGGCGGCAAGAAGCGGCGCCGCGCCCCGAACACTGCCTCTCTCTCTCGGCCCCGGCGGACCACCTCGTGAGTGCGAGAGAGACAGCCTGCTGGCCGACGGGCATGTCGCGGGCATGTCCTAGGCCTCCCATTCGCTCATTAGCTGCAGGTTAACGCAACCCCGTCCTTCCGTTATCGTGGCCCCGGGGGCCGCGGAGGGTGGCGGTCGACGGGGAGGGTCCCGTCCCGCCGTGCCGGGCCGTGCCGGTGTGGCGACAAAAAGCCGGATGCCACCCGGGCCGGCGCCCGGGCCGGCGTTCCCCGCGGACGTCATGCATCGCCTGGAGATGGAGATAAACCACCGCGGACAGCTGGCCGGCGCGGAGCGGCAATAAGAAAGCCGGCGGCGTCAGCACGGCGATCAACCGCCAGTCCCTCCGGTCCGGACCCTCCGGTCCTTCCAGGGCCGCAAAAACGCGCGCGGACACCCAAATAAGCGAGCGGCCTCCGCGGGGGAAGGGGAAAGTTAGTCTGCCAACGCAGAGTATGCCGCTCGAGAGGCGCCGCCCCGCTCCGCTTCTCCAGCGTCGTGCCCTGCTTCGCCGCCTCGCCGCCTCGCCCCGCGTATGTCGCCACTTCCCCGAGCATGTCGCCAAGACCCTCCCTGGCCTGGTCTGTGGCCCTGGCTCCACGCCGGCACCATGCTGGCACCATGCTGGCACCGCCATGCAGATTGCGCCAGGACTTGGGGGCGCCGTGTGTGGCTGCGGCTAAACTTTGGTCGTTGGGCGCCCTGGCGCGGCCCTGGTGCGGCCCTGGCGCGGCCCTGGCGCGGTGCGGCGGTGGAGGCAACTCGAGGGAACTGGCGGTCGTGGTCGCCGAGTTGGTGGAGTTCGCCTTGGAGGTAGGCTACGCGTCCCCGCCCGCTCGGCTGAGCCGCGCCCGCCGCTCCTCGGAGTCCAACAGCCTGATTCCGGGCGCCGTTTCCGTCGCTCTGTCTCTCTCGCACTCATGGGGCGGCTCGTACAGTTGCGAGAGAGACAGAGCGAGACAAACAACTCTCGGAATCAATCTGCTGCTGGCTCAGGTCGCCGCCTGCAACGCAGCGCAGGCCGTGCCGCCACACTCTCGCGTCGTGAGGGTTGCCTACCCTCCGATTCACAGGCGCTTGCGCAGTCCGTGCGCGGCGGCACACCCGCGCCGCACAGCCGGCGGCGGCCGAAACTCTAAACGCGTTTTGAGCTACAGAGTCGCTAAACAGGACTCGAACCGAACGTGTGACCCTACCAAGGGACTCCTCGTTCGGACAGCAATCCATTGGTGGGGTCCCACGTTCGGTTCGAGTCCCATTTGGCGACGCTGGAGCTCAAAACGCGTCCGGGATTTTGACGGCCTCCACCGGTCTTCTGTGCCACGCCCCCGCCCTCAGCGCACCGCGCGCCGTGCCGTAAATCCCGGCGGCACCGCGGCGGTCCGTATTTCAGACAGCAATGGCGGCGGAACTTTTTATTAGCGCCACCAGAGCGCGCGGCAGAGCGGCAGTGCGGGGGTGTTCATAGGTGTGGGTCTAGTGTCGGCGATGCCAAGCACTGTGAAGCTGTCGTATAACGTGGCAGGCGTAGCGGGGCGGGGCGGGGCGGGGCGCGGCGGGGCAGGGCGTGGCTTCTGCCTGATGTGGGGACGTATCATCGCCAACGCTATGGCAGATATCAAGGTTTACGAGCTGCAGTAAAGCGATCAGTGGAACCGGCAATGTGGACGCGCCGCGCGGAGTTGAACGGAACGGAACACAGCTAAGCGGGCGTCGTTGTCGTAAATCCAGTGTACAAGGCGGCGGCGAGTGCGAGCGAGCGAGAGAAACGAAAAAAGTGGAGCTTCGAGAAACGGTTGTAATACGACCAATGCTACTACTCTGGAGTTTTGCGCGCGCTCCGCTCCAGAAGGTGGGTCTTCTTCGTGTCGAAACTTTTCGCAGGTTTATAGTGGAGCCCCACAGCCACACCGTCTACTTTATGGCAGTCGAGCTGTCGGGGAGCGAAGGCTTCGTTTCTCACTCTCGTTCGATTAAAGCTACAGTAGGCGCAATGATGCGGCGCACCACAGTGGGCCTAAAGACCTGTGGATGTGGCCAAAAATTCTAGACGCGTTTTCAGCTCCAGAGTCGCCCGACAGGACTCAAACCGAACTTGTGACCCCACTAATAGATTCCTCGTTCGGAGAGCAATCCAATGGTGCGGTCACACGATTGGTTCAAGTCCCATTCAGCGACTCTGTTGCTCAAAACGCGTCTAGATTTTTGTCTGCCCCCGCACCGGCCTTCTCTGGCGCACTGTGCTCCCGTCTGTACCTACAGTGGGAGCAGGGGCAAGCAGCCCTCCTTTTCTTGATTTCACGTGACAGTTCACTTAGCCAAAGATTGCAACTCTGCCCGGCACGGCGCGGCGCGGCACGGCACGGCACGGCACGGCGCTAGGTCGTTCCGCGGCAACCCCTCCACTCCAGATAAGACGGTCCCTGCGGTCCCTGCGGTGCCGGCAATACGCCCATAATGACACGTGTCTTCCCGCATGCTAATGAGGGCCGGGCGGAATCTCCGCGCCACAGCTTGGAGGGGGAGGGGGAGGGGGAGGGGAGACCCCTGCAGGGTGCTTCATGGCCGCTCACAGGAGGGCCACCACCTCCCGGGAGCACTTCTGATTTGTTGTCATGGATGACCAAATTTTCTATGCGACAGTTGAAAATGATGTCGTTGACAAATCAATCAAATCAACAGCATCGTCAATGTGATGACACTGATATTCATCGTCTAAGAGAGACACCCTTCAATTTGTCGCAGTCAAATGACAGCGGCGCGGGTAGCGCTCCGAGAGGCGCGTCTTTCTCCGACCGAGTGCGCAGTGGGCCAGAAGACCGGTGGAGGTTTTGAGCTCCGGAGTAGCTAAATAGGACTCGAACCGAACGTGTGACCCCACCAATGGATTCCTCGTTCGGAGAGCAATTCATTGGTGGGGTCACACGTTCGGTTCGAGCCCTGTTCAACGACTCTGGAGCTCAAAACGCGTCCGGTATACACCGCCTCCGCCGGTCTTCCGGCCCACTGTGGCAGCCATGCACTGCAAATCGACGCCTTTCCCACCCGTTCCTTTGGTTTAATTTTACACGGATGAGAGCGAAGCGGGGCGGGGAGCGGAGTGAGGGCGAGCGACCTGAGATTCGCTGCTCCACTGGGCGGGGAGGCTGGCGTGCCCTCGGTGCCCTCGGTGCGGCGGTAGTTTACGCTCCGCGTGCCGTGCCGTGCTGCCGTGGAGCGGCGTCGTGCGCGGCATGCCAATGACGGCCATCTTGGAGCCCCGGAGGACGAACCCGCCAAGCGCCGCCAAGCCGCCAACGAGGCCGGCTTTCAAATTCTGCCTGTAGCCCGTCGCTCTTTTCAGACACTTTTGTCGGCGAGCGGAGGAGCCAAAATATCATGTGTGACTATGTGACAAAATGATGGGCAGGCAGTCCCGCACCGTTCCTCTCTGGCCTGCAAGGAGCATAGTGTCTGCCGCGACGGCACACCGCGGGGTCGGGGTTTCTGGCCCACCTGCAGGCCGTGGTACCATGGTACTTGCATGCTGTAGATTTTTGATCAGAGTGTTCGGAAACGAGTTTCATTCGCACTGATGAGATAGCAATTTAAAATGGAGTTGCATGCTGGTGTGGTGGCAGGACACCAGCGTTCAAATCCGAAAGGTTGACCTGGTTGTTCATGTTCGCACCGCGGCGGGGAAGTCTCGGCCGTCTCGGCGCTCCCGCCTCGGCGCCCCCAGCGCCCTCTGTGCGGCAGCCTCCGGCAACGCGGAGCGCGGAGCGCGGAGCGAAACATGGCGAGGCGTGGCGTCGATACTCCGACCGCCGGGCGCCGGGCGCAGACTCTGCCGCGCGGAGTATCGCCAGTGTAGGGCGCGCGGCGCGGGCGATAGAGAGAGGGTAAAAGGAGTCAAACGCATCTCTTCCTCAGTCATCCCTTTATTATTTTACGACAAGTCAGTCAGACAAGACAGCATCAGTCTAGAGATGACAACATACTCACTCTAGCAAACATAGACGCTTTGGCACGGGCGGCGAGGTGGTGGCGCTCGGGGTAGTGGCGTTGGCGGTCTTGGAGTAGGGAAGGTCCGCCCTACTTCCGCTGGCGGTGTTTGGGGCGCTCGGCGGGAGGAGGGCACTCAGTAGTGCCCCAGGCCGTGCCCGAGGGAGAGGAGCGTCGGCGCGGCGTGCACCACGGGGGCGGCGATCACGGCCTTGTGGACGATCTGCAGGGACGACAGTCAGAACCATGAGGCAGTGTTACCACACGAGTGGGCAAAAGTCCTCACGATAAGCGTCCGCCAGTGTCCAAAGGGTTGCCAACCTCAGACTTCAGACTATCTCTGTCGCACTCATGGGGCGCTCCGGAAGAGAGACAGCGAGAAACCGCTCTTCTGAATCGCTCGTCTGATGTTCGCAACCCATTCGGCAAGGATAAAAACTGAGGTTTTCTGTGTCTTACTGTGGCAACACTGTTCATTCTCACCTGTGGGTGCACGGCGTGGCCGGAGTTGGTGACGACGGCGTTGAAGCCGTTGTGGTCGTCGGCGGTGTAGTGCACGGTCCTGGTGGTGCCGTCGGGCTGCAGCAGCGAGTACTCGCCCTTCACCACGTCACCGTCGCGCTCCTCCGCGGCGCTCTTCACGTCGCCGGTGTGCGAGTCGTGGACGCCGTACTTGTAGGCGTAGCGCGGGTGTGCCTGGGGGAGCGAACGTGACAAGGAAAGCAGTGGTGATTGCTGGAAACGGAGTCCGGCGGAGCTGCAGACGGATTCCGAGAGTCGTTTCCGTCGCTCTGTCTCTCTCGCTCGCACTCACGGGGCTCTCCGTAAGGGTGCGAGAGAGACGGAGACAGCGGGGGCACTCACGATGGGCTCGGCCTTGATGATGGGCGCGTGCGCGACGGCGATGTGCGGCGCCAGGGCCAGGGCAGGCAGGGCGGGCGCGTGGCCGATGGAGATGTAGGAGGAGCCCAGGTCCACGGGCACGCCGTGCACGGTGGCGACCAGCGCCAAGCCGCACAACACCTGCGGCACCACGATCGCGAGTTAGAGCATGAACCTGGCGAGCGATTCCGCTACCCGCGCCTTTCGCTCTGTCTCTCTCGCAGTCATGGACTGTGCCTTAGGAGTGCGAGAGAGGCGGAGCGAGAAGGGCGGGCGATTGAATAGCTCGACTGCCTCCGTTGCTCCGCACGCTGCTGGCCTGTCGGTGGACTACGCTGGACCACTGCAGTGTGTTCGACTTCAACTGTCTCTCTGTCGCAGTGCAGGAGCGCCGCCTGACCTCGGTGACGCGTCGGTGCGGCTTCCAAACTAGGTGAGTCCAGGTGCCTGACGAGATCAGAAAGATCGGCAAAAAACGAGGCTGCAAACTCTGTAGTTGTTCAGACAGATCGATTTGCGTCTCTGAAGATTGGTGTGGTGCCTAAGTAGGCTGATTCCGAGAGTCACTCACATCGCTCTGTCTCTGTCGCACCTGCAAGGGACGCCGCATGAGGGCGAGAGAGACAGATAGCGATGAAACCGACTTTCAGAATCAGTCTGCAGCCAAGATGGTCTGCCATTGGATATTGCCATGGGACTGCATAGCGTCGACAGGTCGTCCGTCCACCGGGGCACTAGATCGCCACACCACTCCAATCAGCAATGACAGCAGCCTTTTGAACCTGTCACCACTGCTACCTAACCTACTCCCTGCGGCGCAGTAGACTGATTCCGAGAGTCGTTTTGGTCGCTCTGTCTCTCTCGCACTCATGGGGCGTCCCGTGTAGGTGCGAGAGAGACAGAGCGACGAAAACGACTCTCGGAATCACTCTCCTGGCGGCGCTCCCGCGTGTGCGGCTTGGCGGCCGTCCTCGCCGAGGCCCACTCACCTGTAGAAGGGCCATCATGTCTGCAGAGGCGATGATCCGCGTCCTCCCGCCGTCTCCGCCACCGCCAGTCTGGACAGCGCCGCCGGCAAGTGCGTCTCTTATAGCCGCGTCGACGCCGAGCCCCGCCGTGCCGCGCTGGGCCGCCCCTGGGCCGCCCCTGCGCCCCACCCCCGTCGAGACGGCCGCGCGGTGCACGCGTGACGCGTGACGAGGGCGATTGACCGATCCAGAGCGATCGGATTGTGGCGGCCGGAGGGCGGCGGGGGTGGCGGTCCCTAGGGACTAGACCGACTGGGCCACCTGCGCCGCGCTGCCAGGCCTTTGGCCAGGCCTTTGGCCAGGCCTTTGGCCAGGCCGCCCCCACGGCCAGCGCCTTATGGGGCCGCGGGCCGCGACCTGTCGCCAGTCCCGCGCTCACTCACTGCGCCACTGCGAACGCACGCCGAGTGCCGCAGGACAGCAGGCCAAGTCCGAACAGTGCTTCGCAGCGCCGTCCCCCTCGCCTCGCACTCCCACAGGACGGCCCGCGAGTGCGAGAGAGACAGAGCGACGAAAGACTCGGTCTGCTGGGCACGCCGCCGCTCGGTAATGACCAGCAACAACCCGGCCGACTCCGACTCTGTCTCCATCTTTTTTCTGCGCGAACCGCGAGTGCGAGACTGCACTACAAAGTGTGAGTGCGTGCGCGCGCGCGTGTGTGTGTGGACTTCCCCGCCCCGCCGATGGCCAGGGCACGCCAGGGCAGCGCTTGATGTCAGTTGCATTCCGATTGCGACTTGACTTGCGACGCGTCGGCATGGCGCTTGCTTCTCGCGTCGCAAGCGGCAACTTGCGCGCGGCTCGGCCGGCACGTCTAGGCACGTCGCGCCGCCCCGTTTCTTAATTATTATTTCGTGTCACCTTGTACGGTGTAGTGGCCGACTGCCCGAACGCAGCGCAGCTAGCGCAGTAGCCGCGCGCGCCAAGCCCCAAGACAGAGGCAAAAGCGCGCGCCTGCCGAGCGATTCCGAAGAATAGTTTAGCCGCTCCTCTCTCTGTCGCACTCATTGCGACAGCGACAGAGCGACGAAATGATTCTATTTCTGCATCGTACGGCTGCTATCTTTTCTTCCATTTTCAAGACTCAGGCGCCTGACTCAGATTGTCACATGCGCCTCAAAATTGGCAAACACATTTTTCTCACATTATTGCACAAAATAAATATTTTTTAAAAAAATAGTCAGGGGTATTGAGGAAAAAACAGTCGGGCAGGTGCTTGCTCACAAGTGGACAATTTTATTTGATTAGCTTCTTCCTTGACAAACATTTTGAAAAATTATTTGATTGTTGCGTGTAAATCTGATTTTACACTATCACTTTTTACACTTGTTACTTTTTCACTTTTTTACATTTACACTTTTCAGTCTGGAATTGAGTATCAATTAATACTATGCAAAACAATTGCATAAGCACAGAACAACACAGTTCCTTCAATATAAGAAACGAAAGGGAGGAACATTTAATTTATCACAGACAGTGAGCACAATCTAAATTAATAGGTAAAATTACACATAAAAGAATATGTACACTCCCTCTTGACCTTTTGGTAAATTTACAAATAATAACCCTAGTTAAAATAATAAAGGCAAATATAAAAGAAAGAAGATTCAAGGTTTATCATTAGGTAAGTCTGTTTTTATGCTGAGCAAAATGTTCATTCAAACTTGCCTGTACAACAATAGAGTATCTTTCAAGTATTTTCTTTTCTTCATCGCTGATTCTATCCACAGTGCACTGCAAAAGAAACAGAACATTATTATTCTGAATACTTTTATGAGCTTGCTTTGAGGAAGATTAATATAGACTTGTATTTTACCCAGTGAACTTTCAAGCCCTTTAATGTCATAAGTAGCAGAGGAAGTAAATCACGCTGATTGCTCCATGTCGGATGAGTAGAACTCCATCGTGTTGTTGAATGGTTACATTCCACAATGTCGCAGGAACATGAATAGAATTTAGGGTATACCAAGGAAAATGCTCGTTCTTTCATTAGTTTAACCAATGGTTGACATGAAGAAATTACCATCAAGCACACTGCACCTGAAAACACAGGCACAAAATAAAAAAAAAATTAATTGGTTTAGATGGGTAGTGTCCTAGAATAACTAAAAGTGAAAATTGTGTAATGTATGTATCATGAATGCTTGGTATCGAACACTTTTTATCAAAATTACATACCAGATGCTTCTCTATAAAGGCTTTTAACTAACTCAATGCCGAACAACACAGCTCTTATTTCAGCCTCTGTTTTCACATCTACCATTTTTCGATTAGAAACAAAATTATATTCATTTTGACTGTAAAATTTTAAAAAGACCAAATTAATTGTAAGTAAGGGACTAAGGAGGTTTATCAGTTGATTAAACATAATTACTAACAACTCATCTCCGATGTAAACACCTGATGTAGCTGCTATACCAGGCACAGGTTTATATAATTTCTTGAATGCACAGCTCAAGAACATTAAAACTCTTCCCTGATCATCCCGATGAAGGTCAACTTCTCTTTTTATCACAAAATTTAAGGGACTATGTTGGCCATCACCATGCTCTGCTGAACTCTTTCCATTGTGATTTGTACTTTGAACTTGTTCTCTTGTCTCCTGGAGTGGTTCAGAAGTAGAAGTTTCAAAATGGCTGGATTGATTTATGACAGAAGTATCTGCATCATTGAGTTGACTAATTTGTTGAATATTTTCGATAGTAGCAGAGTGTTCATGATTATCAAATTCATTGACATGACTGACTTCACTCATGACCAAAGCTTCTGTATCATTTGGATTGTTTCTTTGTCCAATATTGTCAATCGAAGATGATGCATCATTACTCTCAAAATTATTTAAATGGCTAACTTCATTAGTGGCAGAAACTTCAGTACTATTCTGACGGCTACGATGTTGTACATTTTCAACAGTGGTTGCTGTGTTGTTACTCTCAAATTCAGTTATCTGGCTACATTCATTTACCTTTGCACCATTCTGACAGTTATTTTGCTGCATACTTTCATCTACAGCTGCTGGTTCATTATTCTCAGTTCCATTACCACTAGCCAATCCATCGTGACTCGTCAAAGTGTCCGAAGGGGACTCTAGTTCAGGAGTGGCATTTACATTTTCTGATGCATCTTCACATATATTTTCCTCATTTTGCACTTCTAAAGCTGGTTCGTTGTAGCCACTGCTTTCCTCTTCGTCCTTGCAAGGATCTAATCCGTGCGATGTGGCCAGGAACACCTGAGACACTCTTGCTAGACAGGTCTCCAAAGACTCAAGACGATTTTCAAGGCTAGCAAATTTTTCATGTAACGCTCGCACCGATCTTTGAGAGGCATATTGGTAATCTTTGGACGTTTTTCTTCGCTTTGATTCTTTCTTGAACTTTTTCCTACTTTCCTTAGGTGTTTCTGATGTGTTTTCAATAAATATGATGTCGTCTTCTTTGATAGTAATTTCTTCTACTTTCCGTTTCTTCTTTTTCGGTGGGCTAATGGTTTCAACATCTTCAATTTCTATAGGACAGTTGTGAGTGCCCCTTAATGCCATTTCTTAAGACGATAAAATTAGATTTAACAAGAGAAACTCCCGGCCACACAGAAGAGTTAACCACAAAATGCAAAATTTGGCAGATTTGTCCGAGGGCCTTTAACCGTAGAAGCATTATTCGCACGTGAGCCGCAAGCTTCTGCTGTGCGCTGTGCTTCATTACGAGATTACGATGTTACGTTCTTTGGTTAATTGTGAGTATTGATACGTCGAAATGCTAGCACAACTTAAAAAGAGTAACTAGGAATTCACAATTGAAACTTTTCAATATTTCACTTTCGCTTGCACTGTTTTGTAAACAAACTAGATATACCTTGTGTAGGTTAAGTTGTCCTCTTTTTTTTCAGTAAACAGCATCTCGAATGTTTAACAGGTTTTTGTAAATCTAGCTATCATACTTGATTAAAAGTTAATATTTTATTTTTTCCAGCCTGTCTTCGGGTGGGTGTGTCATCTCGTGCACTTCAAGATAATGTAGTGAGCCATGGATACAACTTTTTCAAACCGCAGTTAGCGAGGTGTTTCAGCACAGTTTTGCTTCAAAACCCAAATGGATTTGGCAATGAAGCATCATCCTTACGCAACATTAATATGTTGGATAACTCTCTAAGGTATTGATTGGGTGATAGTGATAAATGATCTCAAGTTTCAATCACCAATAACCATATTTCAAAAGGAATGATGATTGTGTTTCTAAAATCATGTTCTTGTCTTTTTCAACTAGATTACCAGTCCTTGCTCCTCTCCTCCTACAGCAACAATCTCGTACAGTAACTAAATTTTCTTTGGGAAGGGGAAAACGACAAACTGTGAAATCTGTGCCTGCCCGCTTCTACCGACTGGATTGGTGAGCATTGTGTTTAATTTTGACTTTGTTATGTTAAAGGGCTGTTTTTAAATGTTTAAAGTCTTTTGTATAGCATACCTTACGTCGGCCTGAGTCTTTTGGTTTTTGTATTACAGGGGTATCTGGATTCGTCGTATAGCAGGAGCTCACAAAAAATTATGGAAGAAAAGCATGAAGAGAAGAATGCGACTAGAACGACATGTACTTGTCAATTCTACAAGAAGTTACATGTTTGATAAAATGGTGTCCAAGTATTGGCGTACCCCAAAACACTGGGTAGATGACCCTTATGCACCTTACCACAAAAGAGAAGACTATTTCTGCACCAGAAAGGAACCCAGGCCTCTTCCCGCTGGTGTCACTTTCCCTTTAGAGAAATAGTTCTTGTGATTGTATATGACCTGTAACAATGTCCTGCTGTATCGTTTATCTTTTGTTAATAAATTTCTATCCTATATGGACCATATATCGTGTCTTAATTCATTTTATATTGTCTACTCCTGTGACTCCTAGCTTGATACAGTTTCAAATACCAAGGCAATCAGCTATGCCTAAACTATCTAGGAATTCTTGAATTTTTATGATTCTTTGCATGTTGAGCAGGATTCTGAAATTGTGGTGATGTGATTTGAGACAAACAATATTTAAATATTTCTATTGAATGTATTTCAGATTTAGTTTTATTACCTAAAGTCAGTCAAAAGAAATACAAGTTTCCAGATTACTTTATAAAGCAGCCCAAATACATTTTTAATTTGATGGCACAAAGTCTATAATAAACCCACAATACGGTTGAGTACCATTCAAGCTTTATAATTTTCATCCACACTCTTTTCCTGAACATTCTGAAAACTGTCTTCAAACCCATTTAAATTACTACACACACGTTGCAAGGACAGGAATTTCCCCCTGGAACTGAGCTGCTCTCTGCAGGCAAAATGTGTTTTTTGATTTCCTATTAAATATATCTTTGTCATATTGATAACTTATCTTAACAACAAATGAAGCAGATCTGCAGGGTCTGAGGTAGACTCTTGGGTATGTGGTGGCCTTGCGCCTTCAGGTTTGCGGTCCGGCCCTCCTAGAGGCCTAGCTGGACGTCTCTGGGCCGTCCTGGGTGTCCTGAGCTCTTTGCCACATCGGCTACCGGTAGCCGAGCCATCGGTCGAAGGGTCGGGAAGAACGGGGATGGCGGAGTCTTTGAGCTGTTGTATCCGGAAACAGTGCCTTGTCCCTCCTCGCCGACAAGGCCCTGGAGCACGGCAGACGACGCGGTGCCTCGTCTACGCTTCTATCTTTGGTAGTCCTAGCAGGGACGGAGTGGAGTGGAGCGCTCCGAGCGCTGCGGCCGTCGGCCGTTGGCGTTGCCCGTTCACCGCCGCGGCACCAGGCCCAGGGGCAGGGGCTCGTCGCTGGCGGAGGCGGCGCTCAGCGGGCAGACGAACACGGAGCAGTCCCCGCGCCGCACGGCCGTCATCACGGCGGAGAGGTGCACGGCGGCGGCCTCGGGGGCGACTCTGGGCAGCCTGCGGACACGGGGTCAGAGAGTGGGTCAGAGAGTCACACTGTCACTGCGCAGCGGACGAAATGTCGCACCCTTACGGAGAGCCCCATGAGTGCGATAGAGACAGAGCAACGAAGCAACTCGGTAGGTCGAGCTCGCCGCTGAGAAGTTCGAGCAGACCGCCTGCCGGGTAGGCAAAGGCAGACCCGCCGCGCGAGCCTGCCAGTTGGGTGGCCTGCCTGGGCCCCTGCGGGCGCTCCACAGGCCACCACGCGGCAGCGCGGCGTGGCGGCTCTGCCTACCCGCCAGGCGCTGCAGCAGGCTGTTTCCCACTTCGTCGCTCTGTCTCTCTCGCACTCAAGGGGCCGTTCCGTCGGGGTGCGAGAGAGACCGAGCGACGGAGTGAACCTTGGACAGTAACTCACATTGCAAGGAGCGTGGCCATCTTCTTCTCCATGAGCAGCGCCGAGTCAGCGCCCTCCCTGGCGAGGACGTCGCAGAAGACCCTCTGTGCGCAGGGCGTGGAGCCCCACACCGCGGTGGGCGCGCCGAGCTGTGCCGCGCGGAGGGCCAGCTGTCTCCTCTCCTCCGCCAATTCCGCCGAGTCCAACGTGTTGGCCGAGCTGTCCCTGCGCGTTCTTGAGTGTACCCTGTCAACAGAGCGGATCATGTAGGCGCGGAGGTGCAGACATCGACAGAAGGTTAGCTCAAACCGCAGGGATACTTACACCTGTGACTGTGGCTGCTGTTGGTGCTGGTGCTGCTGGTGCTCGTGCTGCCGTTGCGCGTTGACCACCCCGACGACCTGCGCGACCACGTCGGCGTCCGTCACCTGTCTTCCGTTCAGGTCGGCGTTGGGCTCGGCGTTGGAGAGGTACCGCTGCTGTCCGTAGTGCATGGCGGCGAGGGCTCGCTTGTGCTCCATCTCGAGGGCGTCCTCGTCGTCCTCGTCGCTGGCCTCGCTGCGCTTGGCCATGACGTCCACGTCCAGGTAGCGGCCGACCGCCACGGCGCCCAGGCCGAGCGCGGCGCCGCCGGCCACCAGCCCCAGGGCCGGCAGCAGCATGGAGGGCGCGGCGACGCTGCCGAGGCGGTCCTGCGCGCCCTGCACGCCGCGGGTGCCGACGCCGTTGCCGTGCGAGAAGCCCAAGTTCTGCGAGATCTTGGCCGACGCCTCCATGAGCGGGTCGACGACGGGCCGGGCCAGGTCGCTCATGCGCTCCATGCCGGTGTGCATGCTGTCGCGGATCGAGTCGGAGAGGCGCACCCAGAACGGCCGGGAGTCTTCCAGCTGCGGGCAGGACGATGGTTAGCAACTGGGCGGCAGGCACAGGCCGGTAGAGGCAGTCCAAGACGCGTTTTCAGCTCCAGAATCGCTAAATGGGATCCGAACCGAACGTGTGACCCCACCAATGAAATGCTCTCCGAATGAGGGATCTATTGGTGGGGTCACACGTTCGGTTCGAGTCCTGTTATCGACTCTGGAGCTCAAAACGCGTCTCGAATTTTGGCCGCCTCCACCGGTCTTCTGGCCCACTGTGCACAGCACGAGTACTTACGAAGGGCGAGTGCGCTGCCGAGTAGCCGGTGTAGTGCGGGTTGTAGCTGTTGTAGCGGTAGCCGTACCCCATGCCGTAGTCATCCTTGTAGTCGCGGTAGTCCTTGTAGGAGGACGCCGCGTGCGGGAAGCGTTTGACGTACTTGTCGGAGGCCAGGCCGTACGAGTCCTCGAGGGGCTGCACCTTCTTCAGTCGCTGGGGAAGGCTGCGGACAAGTCGAGGCAGGCGTATGAATACTCCGGAAACTGGCGCCTGTGTGCTGTGTCTCTAAAAGCGCGTTTTTACCCAGCAGGTTTAGCAGCCGCCTCCTCGAGTTTCCTGTCAACGCCTGTGAGGTAGGCGATCGCCACGACACGCAACGCGCGGGTGTGCAGACGGTGGCCTACCTTGCCCCTGTCAGGACGACAGGGGCAAGGTAGGCCTCCGTCTCTTCAGCGGTGTGTCGCCCACCGGGCCGGTGGCCTACCTCATAGGCGCTTAAAGGACACGCTCTTGGAGATTTAAACTGACTCAAAGTGTTTTACAAGTCCGTAAGTTGTGTTTTAAGTTCATCCGCTAAAAACTTGGGAGCGGACCTCGCCCAGAGGCAGATTTCAGCTAGTCGGCAACTGCAGCCGCCTCGTATGTATGAATGGATGCTGCTTACCTCTGGACGGGCAGGCTGCTGGCGGTGTTGACGGCGGCCTCGGACGACGACCGCTTAGCGCTGGCGGCCTTGACGGGCTCCTCGGGCTGGTCGAGGCCGGGCTCCCGGGCGTAGGGGCTGCGGTCGGCGTGGATGTCCTGGCCGAAGTAGGCGAGCGCGCGGTCCTGGGTCCTGGAGGGCGCGGGTGCGGGCGGGGCCACCTTGGCGGGCTGCACGCCCAGCTCGGGGTGCGCATACTGCAGCACGGGCGTGCGCACGCCCTGCAGGCCCTCCTCGAAGGACACGACGCGAGACGGGTTGGTGCTCTGCGTGCTGTACAGCACGGCGGGCTGGTAGTGCAGCACGCGCGCCTCGGCTTGCGCCTACACCAGAAAAACAAAAAACATTAGGCGCATACGGAAATACTGTGGAAAGACAGGCGTAGCACAGTGGGCCACGAGACCGGTAGAGGCGGTAAAAACTCTAGACGCTATGAGTTCCAGAGTCGCTGAATGGCACTCGAACCGAACGAGTGACCCCACCAATTGATTGCTCTCCGAACGAGGAATCCATTGGTGGGGTCACACGCTCGGTTCGAGCCCTGTAGCGACTCTTGAGCTCGAAACGCGTCTAGAGTTTTGGCCGCCGGCGTAGGTCTTCTGGCCCACAGTGCGTGGGCGGTAGGGGCGCTCTCACCTCAGTGTTCCGCAGCATGCGGCCGCGCGCGCTGGCCGCGCTGGCTCGGCCTGCCTCCAGCTGGTTGACGGCCCGGATGTACTCGAGGATGCGGCGCTGCTGCTCCGCGCGGCTCTGCAGTCCGTGGAGCTGTCGGCAGGAAAGCGAAATGTCAGCCCGTCAGTGCGCCTGCCTGCGCCAGCCTGCGCCAGCCGCCACCAAATTGGCCCTTTTCCTCGAGGGAGCCGTTTCGAGGGTTGCTTTGGTAGAAAAAAGGAAGATGAAGTGAGCGGGTTAGTTTTTCTTTTTATTGCGCGCCGCGGCGGACGTCAGCGTCGACTTGCTGCAGCATGCTGCGGCCGCAACCTCGGTGCACACTTGGCACCGCGACGACGCGCACCACGCCGTCTACGCCGCAGGCGTCTACCCGTCGACTCGGCCGCGCTGTGCGTCAACAGAATAAACCAGTGGCTGTAACACCCGCATTCATGCACAACCCCCACCGCATGCGCCCCGCCTCCACCGAGACCGTCCCCGACACCCTCCGCGGACTCACCTGGGGCGTGAGGATGGGCGGGGCCACGACGTTGGCGCCGTCCGGGGACGTGGGGATCCAGGGCGACTGGGCCGTGCTCTCGGCGAGCTTCTTGACGACGGCGTCGTTGAGGGACGCGGGCATGGCGGGTGCCGCGGGCGGCGGGTTGCGCGCGGACTTGTCGTCGGCCTCCACGGCGGGGACGGCGGGTGGCGCGACGTACGGGCCCTCTACCAGGGTGTTGTTGATGACCCTGGCGCCGCGCCACGTGTGGATCTTGTCGTCCTCGTCGTCGGGCACCCTCACGCCGGTGATGACGGGCACGCCCTCGTTGTCGATGTGCATCAGGGACCGAGACTTCTTGGGTTCGGCGGCGTTGCCCTTGACGAGCACCGTGGTGGAGCGGATGTTGACGGGCCGCGGCACGCGAGCGCTGGCGCTGGGCGCCTTGGCCAGGCGGGTCGTCGTCGTCGCGTTGGCCAGGCGGGTGGTGGCGTTGGTGGCCGCCAGCCGGGCCTGGGCGACGCCGTGCTGCGCGTGCTCCGTTTGTGGCGGGCTGAGGCTGTGGTTGCGGCCGCGCCGCTTCACCACCAAGGAGGCCACATCGCCGGTGCGGGTGGGGACCTGTGGGCAGCAGTGGCTTTAGTGCAGGCTCAGGGGGACTGCTTAATTAACGCGGTGGTTAGTTTCAGCAGTAGGCCAGCAGAACCGAAATTCGAGTGCCGGTTATCACTCCAGTACACTGATGAAAGTGAGGAGTATTCACTTTCTGCCAAATTACTGGAGTTTGACTCAAAAACTGTCTATTCTGCATCCGGGGGAAAACCTGCCGACGCTCACCTTGATGGTCTCGTAGTCCTCGGGGTTGCCGAGCTCCTTGGCTATTCGGATGGCGGTCCGGGCGTACTGGGCCTTGCTCTTGATCTGGTTGCCGGCGCCGATGACGGCCTCCTGTTTTTCGGGCCGGACGCTGTCGCCCGTGCTGATGACGGCGTAGCTGCCGGCGCCCTGCTTGTTGGTGTCGGCGACGGTGTCACCTCGGCACGCCTGCAGCACCGCCAGCAGCACCACGAGGGCCTGCGGACAGAGGGGAGACTCGAATTAGAAAGGACCAAGGTGGGAAGAGACCTTCTTGGCCGTGGCGCGCGCCGCCAGCATCCAGGCGGGCCGCGGCGCGCGGTGAGCGTCCGGGCGTCCCCCGCCGTGCCGAGCGCCAAGCGCCAAGCGCCAAGCGCGGCGAGCGGCGAGGCTTTGCGTCATTTGGCGCGGCGCGCGGCTGGACTGGGAGGGTGGGCGTCGGGACGCCGGGCGTCGCCGCGCACTTGTTATCGCACTGGCGACGTAATCGCAAAGCGCAGCGCCGCGTCCAAGACCACCTGCCGGCCTGCCCCCGTTACCTCTAACCTTGCTCCCGGCCGTATTACCCCTTTGGCGTACTCCTTGGTCGTACCCTTTGGGCGTACCCCTCGGACGTACCCCTCGAACGTACCCCTCGGACGTACCCCTCGGACGTACCCCTCGGACGTACCCCTCGGACGTACCCCTCGGACGTACCCCTCGGACGTACCCCTCGGACGTACCCCTCGGACGTACCCCTCGAACGTACCCCTCGGACGTACCCCTCGGACGTACCCCTCTGACGTACCCCTCGGACGTACCCCTCGGACGTACCCCTCGGACGTACCCCTCGAACGTACCCCTCGGACGTACCCCTCGGACGTACCCCTCGGACGTACTTCTTGAGCGTATAACACTTGGGCGTACCCCTCGGGCGTTCTGTACCCCTTGGGCGTACCCCTTGGGCGTACCCCTGGGGCATACCCATCGGCCACAGCTTGCCGTGCCTTTGTTTTACGCCGGGACTACCTTACCTCGCTGTCTTCCGCATAGTCTCGGCCTTACACGGTCGTATGAACGCATTGTTCTTTTCCTTCTAGTTTTGCTCCGCTGTGAATGCCACTGCCGCGCCCCGCCGCCTTGCACTCGCCACACCGTTCGTTCACACGGGTGGATCTTCGGCCTGGTGGTGTACAGGGCGTGCCCGGGCGGTCGGCATCGCGCTGCCGCCGTGGCCGAGGCCGTGGCGCTGCCCCGCTGCCATCCACATCCAGGCTCGCATCCAGGCGACAGGGCAGCGGGCAGCAGCCACAGGGTCAAGCACCTACCTACTTTCTCCTTTCTCCCGGTGCCCAGCCCCGCGCCACCCCGCTCGCCGCGCCGGCGAGGACTGGGCATGCTCCGTGCAGCAGAGCAGCAGTGTGGTAGCGGAGCACGGCCTGCAGCAAGGCGGGCAGCGCGGCAGCGCGGCGGGGCCTGGACATGGCCTGGCCGAGTAGAGGCTCTGCAGCCATCTAGCGGCACGGCGCTGCTGGGCTCGATTCGCGGCGCGGCGTGGCACGGCGTGGCACGGTGTGGCACGGCACGGCACGGCATGGCACGGCGCTGCGCGGGCAGCCTACCGGAAACGGAGCGGCGCGGCACGGCGCGATGCAGCAGCACCGGCCAGGCGCACACTTCTCGAGAAACGAAACGGAGGAAGCGGAGAACAAAGACAAAGACAGGAACGAGACGGAGACGAGGAGAGAAGAAAGTCCTCCGTTGTTGTCCTCGCGGCCTTCGGCTGCCTCGGGCCGCAGTGCCGCGCAGTGCAGGGCCTTGCAGTGTGTCGCCGCGTCGCGGTGGTCCGGCGTGCCCAAGGCGTGCCGCTCCCAACGTGCCGGCCACGCCGCCACGCCCCCCCCCCACCTGCCGCGCCGCGCGCACCGCGCACACGTGCGCACGCAGGAAGCCACAAAGGTCGAGATCCTGGCCGCGCCCGTCCGGGGCCCGCGCCGCGGGGAAGGCCCAGGGCTGCCCAGGGCCGAGGAGGCAGCGCGAGCACGTCGAGGTGCCAAGCTGGTAACCAGCGCGGCACTCGGCACGGAGAACGCAAAACGCAATTAAATGTTTTCGCCGGTGGCGTGTCGCTCTGATTAGCCCGCCCTTCTCCACAACAAAGTGAGCTGCTCATCATATTGCAGTCATTAGCATGGACAGCCCCGCCAAGCCTCGCCCCACCCCGCCACGTGAGGTTCGCAGGGAGGGGGCACATGTGAAAGTTACGTGGCAGGATCGAGTGATGGCCGGGTAGGCTCTCATGGCGTGGAGCGCGTCGGAGGGGGAGGGGCGGGAAGGGGCGGGGAGAGGGCGAAAGGGGGTCTGACCGCATGGTTGGCGCGGCGCGGCGCTGACCGGCTCCACCACTGAGTCAGTGAGTCAGTGAGTCAGCCAACCCAGCAGCCAGCCAGCCGGGCGGCCGGCCGAGCAGCCAGGCAGCGCGCAACCGCGGACCCTCGCCCACACCGTTGTCACACCTTTTGCGCATTCAACCTGCGGTTGAACAGTCGCTCCTGTCCCTGGCGATCCACGATCAAGTATCTCTAAAATAAGAGGCATCATTGCATTAAATCCTGCCACGACAGCGCAGGTGTTGCACTGCGTGCTCTTACGGCCACACGCTTGCCGTCTCCGGTTTTATGAAAGGGATTAATGAAATGGACTCAAATAGAAGTCTGCATGCCGCAGGGGCGCAGGCCTCTTCAGTCCACTGCGGTCCACTGCTGATTCGCTTTGTCTCTCTCGCACTCATGGGGCGTCCCACAGGGGTGCGAGAGAGACAGGGCGACGAAGCGATCCCTCGGAATCGGGCGGGAGGCTGCGCGGGACTTGGCAAGTCGGTCACTGCAGGCGTGCAGGCTGCTGCAGACGCACAGGGTGGGGGTCGGTGGGGGTATGCAAGGCGATGACTCACAGGTGCTACTCCCTTCCCACTCCTTGGCAATGCCTTGGCGCTGCGGCCCCTCCCCCTCTCCCACCCCCGCCCCCGCCCTGGTGGCCGGTGGGCCCTCTCGTTGAGCTGATGTAACCGGGGCGGGGCGGGGCGGGCCGGGGCGGGTCGGGGCGGGGCGGGGCGGGGCGGGGCGGGGCGCTTTACCGTCTCACACACTCCGTTCCATTCATGCCGCAGCCGCGCCTGCTCCATTCATTTTCGCTTTCCGGTTTTGCAATAAAATCCGCCGCCGCCGCCAGTTTTTATTGGTGCAGTGGACGCGGAGGGCGGCCCGGCCCCAAGCCCGGGGGCACGGCGACGGCGGCCCCGCCTATATACTGCAGCCAAATAATCGCGGCAGTGAAACTGCTGCAGACTGATTCCGAGAGTCGTTTTCGTCGCTCTGTCTCTCTCGCGCCTGTGCAGGACGCCCCGTGAGCGCGAGGGAGACAGAGCGACGAAAACGACTCGCGGAATCAGCCGGCTGGTGCGGCTTGCGACGATGCGCCGCCGCCGTCGTGCAGGTCGTGACGGCGGCGACGCGACGGCGGCGTGTTCGATCCCCCCTCTGGGATGAGGCAACGCGAGGCGCCACGGCGGGCGAGTACGGCATGGCGCGGCACGGCACGGCACGGCGCGGCGCCCTGTGACGCGGATTATCCCATCGCCGGCACCGCGCAGCAGCGCCGCCGGACTTTCTATTCCATCCATTTCTACTGGGCCGCAACGCCGCGACGCCGCGACGCCGCGGCTCCGGGACTCCGGGGTTCTGCGACGCAGCCCGGCGTCCCGCAGAGTCCCTGATGGTCCCGCGCCAGCCCTCCTTCCTTGTCCTGCTGGGGCGGCACCGGCCACTGCACTGGCGCGGCTCTAGAATTTTGCTAAGGGGCCTACACTAGGTCTTTATATGGACATGCATTTTGTCTACCTTCCAGGCGGCCAATCTAGTACCCCTGGGAGACGCTCCTGCCACTGCATTCATGAACATGACCTGGACCAGGAAATGATTCCATGATCGATGCTTTTTCACCATGACAGCGTGGTGAAACACGTGCGCTTTCATTCATCGAAGGATTGTTTGGTTAACTTCGTCACCTGATGGCGCTTGAAGCTCGCCACCATGAGTAGTACCGTAACAGGGTTAAGTTGTTGAGACAATTTTTTGGGTAAACTTGAGGTACATTTAAAACAACGCGTTGGGACATTTAAAAGGCTATCATCACGGTAAAAACGGTTCCTGTTTTTCCCAGGAACTCCCTGGAAATCGCCTATGTCTCTACCATAGGCTTCCTGGGAAAAGCAGAAACCGTTTATTACCGTGATAAAATCCATGCACTTTTCTTGCTGATCATATTTTTAGACTAGTTCAACAGAGAAGAGTCTCATCAAATGAAACTAGAATCAGAGTTGAGAGCGTTGGTCTCATGTTACCCCTTGCTTTCTCAAGTTACCCGGGTTGACAGTTCTTGTGGTACTTCTCAATCTGGAGTATGGACTGCCTGGAGTATGTCTGCTTGAACCTGCTCGGGCCGCGCAAGTCAGAGGTAATCGGGCCGAGACAGGTCTGCGGGAAGGGCTTCTTATCTTTGTTTCCTTCACAGCAGTAGCTCCAGACTGCTCTCGTCGCTCTGTCTCTCTCGCACTCGGAGGGCGTCCCGTAAGGCCGCGAGAGAGACAGAACGTCGAAAGCGGTGTTCCGAATCGGCCGCTGCAGCTCGCGACACGCGGAGGTCTTTCAAGTGTCAAGTCGTCCGGTCCTCTCTCCGCGGCCACAGCCCCTTCGCGGAGACAATGCCGTGAAACGGCCACCACACTGGGATAGGCCGACGCACGCATGACGGACGGACGGACGGACGGACGCTAACGCGGCACCGTCACGGGCCGCCGTAATATTTTGACGATACCGTTACTGTTACCGCGCGGCCGGCGTGCCGCGGGGAGAGGGGGAGGGGGAAGCACCGGTCAACTCTCACTGGGTGCAGCGGGAAAGGGAAGGGGGAGAGGGGGGCGGCCGGCCGGCGGCGCGGAAAATGCAACATGCGATCACCACCTCTCTCTCGGAATCGCTCGAATCGTCCGCATCGGACTGACCGGCAAACCTTGGTAAATATCAGTCTTTTGCAACACATAGTCGGCCAGAGGTCTTGAGGATGTGGTCATCGGCAGTAGCACGAGGTGAATGCAACTTAGTCTATCTCCTACTGGATAAGGCAGGGAAGTCCTCTGGTTCTACCAAAAGAGACCACAAAGGCAGCCAGACAGCTAAGATAAAAGGCCTACAGGGGGCCAAAAGACAGACTGCCGGCCAGTTTGCGAAAAGGTAACCAAAGGGTAGCCAAAGGGAAGCCGAAAGGTAGTCAAAAGTTAGTCAAAGGGTAGCCAAAGGGTAGCCAAAGGGAAGCCGAAAGGTAGTCAAAAGTTAGTCAAAGGGTAGCCAAAGGGTAGCCAAAAGGTAGCCAAAAAGTAGCCAAAAGGTAGCTAATGAGTAGTCAAAAGCTAGTCTAAGGGTGCTCAAAGGATAGCCAAAAGGTAGCCAAATTAAGGTAGCCAAAAGGTAGCCAAAAGGTATCCAGGTAGCCAAACGGCGGGCAAAAGGCAGGCAAGGGCGGCCAAGCGATGAGAAAGTGGCCGCTAATTGGCCGTTCGCTATGCTGCCTGGACTCACTCCACTTCCCGTCAAACTTTATTAATTAAAACAGTGCGCGCGCCGCCTCCATCGGCGGAAACGCGCTCGTAAATTTTTTGGCAGTGGGCACGCCACGCCCCGCCACGCCCCGTCACCCTTGACACTCTCTCAAAGAAAGTGAATGGCCGAGTGTCACCCGCGGCGTGTGTGAGAGGCGGAAAGGGGGGGGGGGAGTCCACACACGGAAGCGACACGGGGCTCGTCTTCGGCCGCACGGACAGACGGGCCGACAGGACAGAGCGAACAGAACTGTAGAGGGCGATTTCGCCTCTATACAACAAGGTGAACATCCCCTCTACCAGAGCACAGTAATACAGTACAGAGATATGAGAGCAGCGAACTGAAGCCACAACTGAAACACAGCGCAGAGCAGGACTGACTGCATGCAGGCAGATAGAACGGCTGGACACAATAAGGATAGAGTCACACAGCCAGACAGAAATTCAAATTCAGCAGCTCACTCTAAATGTCCCACTAACAGCACCAACAGCATATTACATTATAGTTCAACAGAAAATCGACAAACTGTCTAAGGTACAACGCATTTTCAGGATTTTCAGAATTTTCTACACCGTGCGTAAGTTACACGAAGTCAGATGCACCCTCATTAATATGAAGAATCTTCACCTGACGATTTTTAGAGTTCCTTGACCAAGATAGCAGAGAAATACTCCCCTGGTGGATCGTTCGGACCCGATCCACCAGGGTCGAGACACGTATTCTTACACCCACTTGACAGGTCAGACAAACAGACACGCTCAAGTTCAAGTCGCTAAACAGGACTCGAACCGAGCGTGTGACCCCAGCAAAGTATTCCTCGTTCGGAGAGCATTGGTAGGGTCGCACACGCTCGGTTCAGTTACTCTGGAGCTCAAAAAACCACCGGGATTTCAACCGCCTGCATCAGACAGGCTCAAGTTCAAGTCCCACCAGGCCATTTTCATTGAACGGGTTCCAGGTGGCAGCCTTCAGGCAATATTGTCTCTGTCCCATTATTTGTCGTGGTTGGAAAACTTAAAAATCTTGTCGCACCGGTGGAAGTCGCCGGCGCAGCTTGGCGCGTGGTCCCGGGGCCCACCTGCGGCACGGCGCCGTCGTGCCTTAGCGTTGGCGGGGCGTGGCGGCGCGTGCCGTCACCAAGGCCGCAGCTGCAGGGGGCCGCCCTCGGGGCCGCCCAGCCGCCGAGGTGCAGCGCGCCGCACCGCCGCCGTGGGATGTCACTACACCGTACACGCGGCCTCCGTCCGTGGCCCCGTCCTCGTAGCCCTCTGAGTTATGGGCCCGGCCCCGATTATGGAAGCATGGGAGCCATCACGGAGCGGCCACGGCTTTCTACCGCCCCGCGGTGCCTTGCGGTGCCGTGCCGTGCCGCCGGGACGCCGATGCATCTTTTTACTTGACCGTTAACCGCCTTTGCTTCTTGCGTCGCCCCGGGCCGGTTCATCTCGTTGAAGCCGCGGCAATTGATTCCTATCCCATTATCGGCTCTTTAATAAATCGTCAGCTCGTTGCGGCGCAGTGAAGCGAGCCAGGACGGGGCTGAGGCCACGCCGACGGGGAGGAGGACAACGCACAGTGGGCCAGAAGACCGGGGCAGGCGGTCAAAATCCTGGACGCGTTTTGAGCTTCAGAGTCGCTAAATGGGACTCGAACCGAACTTGTGACCCCACCAATGGATACACTGAGATTCCAAACGCTATGAGTATAGCGTCAATTGGTGCAATGCAAAAGCATTGCACATGAAGTGCAATGCCTCCCCATTCCCATGCATTAGCATAGGGCCTTTTCGGGATGCATTGCACGTAAGGTGCAATATGGCTGAGGCATTGCACGTATGGTGCGATATCTCAGCTGCATTGCACCACACGTGCTATACTCATAGCGTTTGGAATCTCAGTGTAGCTCTCCGAACGAGGAATCCATTGGTGGGGTCACACGCTCCGTTCGAGGCCTGTTCAGCGACTCAGAGCTTAAAACGCGTCTAGGGTTTTGGCCAACGGCGCTGGTCTTCTAGCCCACTGTGCAACGAAGACAGGACCGAGGCCACAGACAAGAGACAACCAGTGCTCCGTGACAAAGAGAGACAACCCAGTGGTTGACCTCTGGCTTGGCGCCTGGTGGGCTTGGCGCCTGCGTAACGATCAATTGTGGTGCCCGTAATGGTAATGGTAATTGCGGATAAGCAAACGAGACACCGGAGTGTGGCGGGTCGGCCTATCCGCGCCTGGCGGCACGCCGGCGTCGAAGGCAAGCCACAACAACCGGCGCCGGCGTGGTGGTGCCATCGGCACGCCGCGTCCACCAAGACGGTGGCCTTCTTCTGGTGGCGCGGAGCCTCGCGTGCTGCCGTTCGATCACGGCGGCAGCCCCGGGAAAAAGCAGCGCGACCCGAAGCACGCCTCGAAGCGGATGACCCGCAAGGCTAAACAGTGCTGCTTTCTTGTCTCTCTCGCGTCTTCTTCAGCGCGCCGCACGAGTGCGAGGGAGATGGAGCGACGCAAGCTCTGTTGTTGTTCGGGAGCAGCAATACTGGGCCAGACTCTCCGAAGTCCACTAAGGGGCGCAACCGTCACAAGCCTTGCTTTATTGGGCAGGGGCCATGTCGTGTGAGGAGACCACGTACAGTGGGCCAGAAGACCGGTGGAGGCGGACAAAACTCTAGACGCGTTTTGAGCTCCAGAGTCGCTAAATGAGACTCTAGCTAAGCGTGTGACCCCTCCAATGGATTGCTCACCGAAGGAGGAATCCATTGGTGGGGTCACACGATCGGTTCGAGCCCTGTTTAGCGACGTCTAGAATTTTGACCGCCCCCACCGGTCTCCCGGCCCGCACTGTGCGGCGGTAAATGTCACCGCTAACGAAACAACCCCAGCGCAGCCCAGAGGAACGACGTATAAAATTTGACATTTTTTTTGCCCGCTCTTCACGCTGGCTGCTCCACTGCTTTCCACTCACCTGCCAGCAGACGACGCGTTGCTGTCTCATTTTCTCCAAGGCTGCTCGCCGCACTAGTGCTGCGCACGCTGCGCACGCCACTCTCGGCGCACTCACACACTGCAATCACTCGGTGCACTTCACTGGCCGCTTGTCGCTTGACACGCACACTCACACTGTTGCACTCTCACAAATCACTCGCGAGCGCGCTCACGCACACGCACTCATAAATAAATTAATAAATAAGGTAAATAATAAATAGAAATAAATAAGGCGACCGGTGTGCGTGGTTCACATGGTGTCTGGGGAGGGACTGAGCCGGGCCGGGCCGCCGCGGCTCCAAGCGCCGCGCCGTGGACGCCCCGCCTGCCCCCTCCACCGCGCTACCCCCGCCGCCAGCCCCCGCCACCGTACGCCCGGACGCAGGGGTGGGGACCTCCACAGGCACCTCGGGGCGGAGAGGGGAGGGGTCACTTTCAGACAGGTTGGTGGACGGAAATAGTGACTGGTTCATTGAGTGATGGAGAAGGGGAGGGGGTCACTTTCAGACACACACTTAAAACTCTACAAAGAACTGTTCTTTGTAATACGAAGAAAACGGCGGCTTCGCAGCCTGCGAAGGAAATTGTTTGTAATACGAACAATTTTCTTCGTAATACAAAGGAAAAATTCTTCGTAGCCTACGAAGAACTTCTTCGCAGCCTGCGAAGGATTTTTCCTTTGTATTACAAAGAAAATCGTTCGTATTACAAACGATTTCCTTCGCAGGCTGCGAAGCCGCCGTTTTCTTCGTATTACATAGAGCAGTTCTTTGTACGAATTTATCTGTGCAGTTTCCTGAACGGAAGAACAGACCAAAGTAGTGACTGATTCATTGAGTGACGATGAGGGGAGGGGGTCACTTTCAGACAGGTTCATGCACCGAAGTAGTGACTGAGATTGAGTGATTGAGAGGGAGGGTTCCCTTTCAGACAGGTCGATACATTAGACGGAAGTAGTGACTGGGTCATTGAGTGGCGGCGATGTTGATAGAGGTGTTCGTGTGAATGAGTCAATCAGGGAAATCTGGCCACTCACTTTTAGTGGACGGTGTGAAGTGCTTCGAGAGGTGTGCCATCGTACGCGCGCATGCCTGTAGAGGCGTCGAGGGCCACAACCTGTCGAGCAGTCCGTTTCTTTCTTTTGGGGCTGCAGACGATATTACCGATAGGATGCGGCTCTTTACACGCTCAAGGAGTCAAGCCTTTCAGACCGTTGCAGTTGTATCTTGACGCCACTGAGTGGTCGCCACTTTGAAATTTCGACCCGCCCATATCCAAACGTGTAAAGTGCACAGAGGTCACTCAAATTTTCTGTGTGGCTTGGTAACAGTTTGAGATGAGTGGTTTCGTTCTAAACTCCGTTTCTGTTCCGTATGTTTTCGTGGCGGTGGGGTGGAATAGCCGGTCACCCAGTGGCGATGGACTAGCACTCGCTGCTGGTCAGTGCACTGGAAGTGCCGGTCAGTGTTTGCCGGTCTCCGGGATGACGCAAGGCACAAGAAGGCGAGGCCCCTCGTGCGTGAGGCTAGGCGGCTGGGCGTCAGGCCGTCGGGAGCCGCGGCACGACGGACCTTCGTTTTCATTTGGACGCCTTTGGACGCCTTTGGAGCGGTCGCCTCGAAATGGAGTCCGCGTGACTTGCGCTTTGCCGAGCCTTTCAAAAACTTTTCCAAAAATAGTTAGTGGATCGAAGTGGCGGCGTGCGTCAGTGGAGCAGGACGGTATTGGAGCAAGTGGGGCGAACCTCTTGCGCGGAAATGGAATTATCGGACTCCCTTTCTGGGGAATGACAACATTTGAAACTCCTGACACGTCACAGCACAGTCGGCTGAGGCGTTCAGAAGATCACGAAACAGCAAAGTGCCAGCCCCGGCGCTCAATTAGGAGATTCCGAAGTGTTACTGTTGCCAGTTCGCTGCGCGTTACTGCGGGAGAACAGCGACGCGTGTCCGAAATCCCTCCAATCGCCTTCGGCTCGCCTTCGGCGATGACGAGTGGGGCTCGCAGTGAAAGCACTGCACGGCGAACGGCACGGAATGGGCAGGTGTCAAACTACAAGCCGACCCCACGCGAGAGAGCGAGGTGCTAAGCGCGCGGGGCCGCGGGGCCGCGGGGGCCTCGCTGGCACTAATGCATACGAATCGGATGCGCCTGAGCCCTTGGCAGGCCGTTGGCGTGGGCGCGGCCAGCGGTGAGGCAGCACACTCATTCCGAGAGTCGTTTTCGTCGCTCTGTCTCTCTCGCATCCATGGGTCGTCCCGCATTGGTACGAGAGAGACAGAGCGACGAAAACGACTCTCGGAATCAGTCTGCGGTTGTCGTTTGTTCGATGTCGCAAGCGGTGCCCGGCCGCGGCCGCTTCTTGTTCTTTTCACCTCCGCATCGTCTTCTCTACTTGATCTATTTATTTTAGTGGCTCGTCATCCTCCTCGTCATCATCCTCCTCGTCGTCCTCCTCGTCGTCATCCAGGCTCGGACTGGCCAGGGCAGACAGGCCGAAAAATCTGCCGGGGCCTTCGGGTTTGGGACCAGTAACGTCACAAAGTTGGTCAAAAAGTGATTGAATCTCCGAAAGTAGCCGTTTTCGCTGAATTTTAGCGGCCACTGCGTCCGATCTAGTTGCGGGAAACGGCCTCCCTCGACGCCCTAGTATTCTTAAGACCCTACTCTTTCATGCCCTGTATCGGGAAGACGTTGACCACAACGATTTTGCCTTTGACCGCAACGATTTTGGGACCAAAGTTGGTCAAAAAGTGGTCGAATCTCGGAAATTTGCTGATTTTGCTGACTTTGGGTGGCCACTGTGTCCAATCTAGCTATCGTAAAAGGCTTTCCTCGACGCCCTAGTATTCTTAAGACCCTACTTTTTCATGCCCTGTATCGGGAAGACGTTGACCACAACGATTTTGCCTTTGACCGCAACGATTTTGGGACCAAAGTTGGTCAAAAAGTGGTCGAATCTCGGAAATTTGCTGATTTTGCTGACTTTGGGTGGCCACTGTGTCCAATCTAGCTATCGTAAAAGGCCTCCCTCGACGTCCTAGTATTCTTAAGACCCTACTCTTTCATGACTTGTATCGGGAAGACGTTGACCACAACGATTTTGCCTTTGACCGCAACGATTTTGGGACCAAAGTTGGTCAAAAAGTGGTCGAATCTCGGAAATTTGCTGATTTTGCTGACTTTGGGCGGCCATTGTGTCCAATCTAGTTGCATTAAAAGGCATTTAAAAAGTTGGTCATGAAGGGTATAAACAATGATGATCGGGGGCCTTTTGCTCGGGGCCTTTTGGGGGCCAGTCCGAGCCTGTCGTCATCCTCCTCGTCGTCATCCTCCTCGTCATCATTCTCCTCGTCGTCATCCTCCTCGTCGTCATCCTCCTCGTCGTCACCTGCCTCGCCGTCATCCTCCTCGTCGTCATCCTCCTCCTCGTCGTCGTCCTCCTCGTGGCTGACCCCCTCGTGCACCTCCTCGGCGGCTCCCGCTTCGCGTCCCGCTTCACGCCGGCGGCCCCACCCCGCGCCCTGACCTGCGTATCTGGCTCGCCGCGTGTCCCCCTCCTCCGAAAGGAGACGACGAACCCAACTAAATTTTCACTTTCGGTGCGCTCCTGCCCCGGTGACGGCACGCCGAGCGGCACGCGGGGAAAGGGGGAGGGGGCGCTGGAATGCCCCTGCAAGGCGGTGCGGGGAGGGAGACATTCCTTTGCCGGCGGTCCAGCAGCCCCGCCCCGCGCTGTGTGTGTATACTGATATCTTTCAGTTTAACCCGGTCGAGATGCACGCCTGCTCTAATCTCAATCTGTTTACGGCCCCATCGTGGGAGGTAATGCCCGCACCGGCGATCCCTTTCAATAATAATTACACTTTTCCTCCCAGTCGACAAGTGGCGGAGCGGCGAGCCGGGATCGAGGCCGGACAGGCCGGGCCCTTCGTGGAGGGCCTCATAGCCTCACAGCCCTTCGACGGCGTGGCGTTGTTGCTCGGCTCGTAAAGTCCGCCGCTACGATGCCATCGGGCCAGTCGGATTAGACTATCGACCGCGGCGGGGCGGGGCGGGGCGCCTCTGGCCAGGCGGGGTGCCCCTCAGGTGCCCCCTGCGTGCCCCAGGGCGGTTCAGCGCATGCCGGCAACCGAACCGATTTTATAGAAAGTTGTCATAACGCGTTTCGTCTCCCTGCCGAGTCGGGACGGCACGGGACCGGAGGGACCCCCGTGCCATCGGGAGCCCCTGGGCCGGTCGGCCGGTCCTCCATTCCCGACCGGTGGCGGTGCCTCGCCATGGCCGGTCCGCGCGCAGTTCGGCGACGTCCTGATGCAACTTGGCGGCATTCCTCGCTGTAGCGAAACCCGCCGGTGAAACCCCCGGTGCAACTTGGACGGCCGAACGCACAGTGGGCCAGCAGGCCGGCGCAGGCGGCCAAAATTCTAGACGCGTTATGAGCTCCAGAGTCGCTAAACAAGACTCGAATCGGTGTAAGACCCCACATGGATTCCTCGTTCGGAGAGCAATCCGTTGGTGGGGTCGCACGTTCGATTCGCGTCCCACTTACCGACTGTGGAGCTCAAAACGCGTCTGGGATTTTGGCCACCTCCACTGGTCTTGGTTTGCCCTGGAGACTTGCACGCCGGGGCGGGGCGGAGCGCCCAACACTCCCCGCAGCCACGCGCCGTCGCCGTCACCTTATCGCCGTTGTCCTTAATCCCGCCGGCCAGCGCGGGGTGACTCCAGACAGCCGCTCCGTCTCTCTCACACGCATGAGGCGTCCCTCAGGGGTGCTAGAGAGACAGAGCGACGACGCACTTGATCGGAATCAGCCTCCGGGCGACCCGTCTTCTCCGTCATGTCCCGAACGTCAACAACAGCGTGGTCCGTCAGGGAGGCCCGTCGTGCACGATGGCGGCGCCGAGGGCTGATTCTGTGAGTCGTTCTCGTCGCTCTGTCTCTCTCACACCTGTACGGCACGCCGCATGAGTGCGAGAGGGACAGAGCGACGAGAACGACTCTCGGAATCAGTCTGCTGGCCCGGGATGTTCTCTCGCTTAGAAAGCCCGCGGCCGACGGCGTGCCCACGGCGTGCCCTCCACGGTGCGGTGCGGCGCCGCGGCCCGGCTGGCGGCTAACGACTCATTGTACGCCGAGCGACGCCCAGCGACGCCGAGACGCGGCACTGCGCGGCACTGCGCCATCTGTTCTGCCTATTTGGTCGACATGTGCGCCACTTTCTGTCAGGCACGCCGCGGCACAGTGGGCCAGTA